CTGCTTATTACGAGCTTTAAATACAAAATTTAAAGCAATTCCGAAAAATCAAAAATGTCCCAAAAATCATCAAAAAACCGAATATCGGGGAGTACTGTTGTTTGGAGGATATGCGTTATAGATAATTCTCTTCCAGGGGGTAAAGTATTACATTGAAAAATGTGGCGAAAATCATCAAAATACCGAATATCGGGAGGTAACGTTATATAGGTGTTATACGATATCGTAGACCTATATAGAAAATTCTCTTTCAGGAGTAAGGTGCTTACAAAAGCACTTCTTGTATAGAATTTCAGACAAAAGACCTAAAGACATTGAAAAATAAAACCGTCACCCGCTGCCCGAATGTTGTTCCGCGGTATTTTGCCTCATTCCCGGCAAAGCGCTTGTTTGAGGTGATCGACACTTTGGTATATGTTAGTGCCAACCTTGCTTTCCAAAATACTCCAGACACAATAGTCCAACGGATTGGTATCCGGAGATTTTACTGGCCATTATGTGCTGGAAATGAAGCGAGAAACCTCATTTTGTAAGCATTCTTGGGTGACGCGTGCTGAGTTCGATGGAGCTGAGTCCTGTTGGAAAGTCCAAGGTCTGTGGCCAAAATGTTTGTGTGCCCAAGGCTTTGATACACCCTCCAGAATATTTACGCGATAATATTCAGCATTTATTCTGATGCCACGGTCGATTAATACGAGCAGAGGGCGACCATCGTCTGCTAAGGCGGCCCACACCATCACCATGACCGGCGCTTGAGTTCTGGTGGCCAACCGAAGGTACATATTTTCAGCTGACCTCTTTGGCAAGTAAACACGATTATTTTGTTTGTTTACAAATTGCTGTACTTGTATATACTTTATAGGGCCTCAACCTGTATATACTTTATTGGGCCTCAACCTGTATATACTTTATTAGGTCTAACATTATTATTCGATGAGTAGTTACAAACGGAATGATGAATTTTATATATCCTCCATACTATGTATGATGGAGGTTATAAAAAGATAATTGTTCATGAACTTTAAATCCCTTTTAAGCTCTATGGCCCTTTGAGGTGATCTAACACCTTAATCCTAACTAATGACTTTCTATCCCCAGACTATTTGCTGAACTGTATTATTTTTTGCCTTTATGTGGGTTAGCATTGTCTGGGAGATTTTCTGTGCTGGTTTTAAAATAAAATAAACTCTCAGTATATTTTTGCATTTGTTATGACCCCCATAGGAGAACACAAATCTTAAAAATTCGGAAACCAGCAACCAAACAAACTTATTTTTAATTTCCCACAGATCCATTACAATTAACACTACCCAGACCTGATACTGTCATATTCGTATCATTTGTGAAATAATTTCACAAACTTTAAACCCCTATAAATATTTCACAGTACCCTAGTTTTAAGAGGAACTTAAATTGAAATCTAAAAAAAAACTCTGTGACGACCACTGCATGTGGTCGTTGCTGTTGCTTGGTCTGGAACAAGACTTTCTTCTTCGTGGAGTTTTTTTTTTGGATCGCAAATAAATGGTGTTAAGTTTTATGAACAGAATTCCTCACTCTGACTCTGACTTAACGGGAATGCATGTTTGCATGAGTGTAACGTCATAGAGAAGAGGTTGTTTGCATTGCGCAGTTGTTGCTTTGAATGCTCGCAACCTTTCGCTTGGCGGACGAACAGTTAAGAAAAGTATTTTCCAGAACGTTTTCATGAAAAAGCGCCACACAAAAGAAAACAGAGTTGTGGCAAAAAGAAAATTGTTTCGCACCGGACCAATTTTAAGAGCGGCAACGAGGTTGGCGTTCTTGCCACACTGCCGTTTGCTGTCAATAAAAGGAAACTGGCAATGGAAATAGCTGTAAATGTTAATAAAAACAACACAAGCATACATTTCATAAATATGGCCATAATGAAAGCAACAATAACATCTAAAGAAAACATGATTTTCTTTGGCCGACCTCAAAAAAAAAAAAAAGCTAAACAACCGAAAGAAGCTACAAAGAGAGCCATTGAAAAACCAGTAGCAGCAGTGTTAGCATAAATTCTATGAGGCCGATTGACAGGTTTTTTATCATCTAAACTAAAATAGTTGAGGTAACTTGAAAGCATAGTAAGAGAACGTTGAATAACAAAGAATAAATGGGAACATAACTTAAGATTTCCTGAGGTGAAAAACAAAAGACTTAAGACACAAACTTGACAATTTTGTGTAAAGGCGATATTTGTAGGTTACAATAGAAAAGAAACGATAATGTGTTCCTTGCTATTCTTGAAGGATCTGAAGGTCTGATTTTAAAACTCTTTCAGAAATGGATTTTGTTAGAAATTGTTTTAGCACTTCATGGCGAAAAATCTGGGGTGTTGCAAGACATTTTTGAAGGATATTTCCAAGGACTTTCTTTTAGCAAAAAAAAAAAAAAAAAAAAAAAAAAACACATGTGTACGACTTTTTGGAGGACTTAATGTAGAATAGTCGAGGTTTTTATTTGCATTTGTTAAGGACATTATGTCAATAATTCTCTGAATTTGTACGGAAATATTTAAAGGCCTTCTTGTAAGAAAAAATGTTAAAAGGTTTTATGGCAAAAACTCGTAGTTTTTTTTTTAATTGGGTCTTCTTGGCAAAAAATGAACTTTATTGTTATTTAAGGACATCCTTGTCAAAAATCATAAATTTTTTATTGCAAATATTTTTGCAAAGTGTTCCTAACAAAAAACGCATGGATTTTAAAAGGATATTTATGGCATTTTGCATTTTTAAATAATATATAGCAAATCTTTTGGTCATAAACTTACAACCTAAACCAAGGTGGCTGAAAATATTTTAAGATCCAAATATGAAATATTGAAAATGGATATCCTCAAACCATGCTATTTTAATAGCTCAGTTTTGTTATCTTTGATTTCAAATATCTAAAATTAAATAAATTTTCAAGATTTAATGTTATATAATATTGTCCTCTGTCATGGAGATTACAAATAAATTATTTACCTATATCCAAAATTATTTTGGTAGTAGATCTCAGGGATCTGTTTTTTTTTTTTAATTATTATCCTTTTTTGGAAGATATACCAGAAGAAGACACCAAAGACTTGCCTGCAGACTGGCCTTAATGGTTGCACTGATTTATTTTAGTCACAGACCCGAATAAGTTTTTCTATTTAAAACAAATCCATGTTGTAGCCCCTTTCTCATTTTCTCATTTGTAGCCCCTTCATAAATCTAAAGATCGTATCCTTTTAGAATACAATTTTCAAGTATTTTTTATGTAATATATCTATCATAAATTCATAAATGATAATATGTCCTCTAGAAAGAAAAGAAAATTATTTTTTATACCCTACACCGTCAGGTCAGGGTATTATGTCTTTGTGCATTTGTTTGTAGCAGGTAAAAGGAAACGAGATAGACCCATAGTTCTTTTTGATGATTTATGGATGTCCGTTCGTCCGTCCATCTGTCTGTCCGTCCGTCTGTCATGTATTTTTGTAAACAAAGTACAGTTCCCATTTATTGCCCGATCCAGATTAATTTTTGCACAAATCACTTGTTTGGCCCAAGGACCAACTCTATTGAAATTGGAGACAATCTGTCAAAATTTAGATATAGTTCCCATATATATCTTCCGATTTGGCTTTTATTGTGCACCAAACGTGTAATATCAACCCGAATAGTATGAAACATACAACCAAATTAGGCCTGAAAATAAGTATGCCAAGTTTGATCGAAATCGGTTCAGATATAGCTATAGCTCCCATATATATTGTTCATCCGGTTTATTATTTATTAATATGCACTCTGTAACAACAATATTTAGGGAAATATATCAAATGCAGCTCAGAAATACATGTGTCAAATTTTATCGAGATCGGTTCAGATTTGGATAAAGCTCCCATATATAACTTCGTCCGATTTACCTTTTATTGTGCCCCAAACGTTTAATATTTACCCAAATGGGATGAAATTTGGCACATATGACCGAATTGAGTCTAGAATCTAGTATGCCAAATTTGGTGAAGATCGGTTCGGATATGGGAGCTAAAGCTCCCATATATATTGTTCATCCGATTTGTTACCCACAGCCGTAATATGCACTCCGTAACAACGATATTCAGGGAAATATATCAAATACAACTCAGAAATATCTTTGCTAAATTTTATAGAGATCGGTTCAGATTTGGATATAGCTCCCATATATATCTTTATCTGATTTCAAATTAATTTTGCACCAAATGGGCAATACAAGTCCGAATTTAAAAGATACAAATGCTTCGGCATATTTAGTCCTTTGATTATAATTATAATTTAATAATTATAATCAAAGCGTGTATGATGAGATTCTCCCATAAAAACTTTAAATTATTATGTGGAGCTCTACTAAATTAGGAAAGTGGTGTAGGGTATCATAAAGTCGACCCCGTCCGACATTAGGACTTCCCTTACTGGTTATATCTGAAATATACTCCACGGAATTTAATACAGTGACAATCAGCTGATTTTTCCTACTCTGTTTATGAAGGAGTTTGGGAAAATAGAATAGGTTTCGTTCTGTGAAAATTTTGTTAAAAAAAAATTAAAAAATTTTTTCAAGACTCTCCAAAAAATTGAATTGACTTAAACCATTTTATGCATTTCTTTTATTTACACAAAATTTTCAATAACAACAATTGTGTTTTTGTGAAATGGTTAGTTGTTGTAATTCATACATATACTAAAAATAAATATTACTACCTGAATACTATCAAGTTTTTATGCAGAAAGCAACAAAAGACTCAAGACAGGAACTTGAAAAACCAACTTCCCTAGTTCTCAACTCATGTCGACAGTGAATTGTGCAATAAAATACAATGTTCGGTCAAAGTTTGACCTATTTCACACAGTCTTGCCTCAAAATATTTACAATTCCAATGCCTTCTGTTCTTCTTTCTCAAAAGAAAAGAATGTAGAGTAGAAACAAAAAAAAACAACAAGAAATATATATTTCACACATTTTCCACCTACCAAAAGTAAACGTTTATCCATTTTGTTGTCGTAATTGTTGTTTTTTTTTTTTTGAGATTAGCTAAGCACTCGAGAAAAACACTAATAATTTCTATTGCTGATGAATATTATATTACATAAATTCCTTTGTTTTGGGCTTTGAGACTAATTGTTTAATTAACGGTTTAACACAATATTTGTTTCTTTTGTTCTTTTTCCGTTTGTGGAAATTTGTGCTCTTTGGCTTGGTTCTATTTTTTCTTCTTTCTTTTTCACAGACACAAATTTCTCCGTGATGTTGTTGTTTTATGTTGCTGTCAATTTCCGTTTGGTTTTTTTTTCTTCTTTTCTGGAGTACAGCACTTTGTGGTCACGGACACTGTTCAAGTATTTGGTATTACCATACTGGTGTGTTGTTGCAAAAGAACTGATTGCTGTAGAGCCATTGCTCTTACCAAGACACCTTTCTTCGATATGCAACAGCACAATTCCCCCTCCCAAATGAGTGATTTGTTTGGTGGGCAAAAGCAAGCAAAGCAAAGCAAAGAAATGAGCCACTTAAACTCACTTGAGAGTCTTTTGGTGTTGGTCATTCATATCTCTATACGTCGACCTAATGCCATGGCCAAGAGTAGTTGTTTGTGGATCTTGTTGGATATACTAGTCTGATATTAAGCCTCTCACTCGCTCTTGTAATAGTTTAAGTTGAGTGAAGTAATTTGTGAGAGTAATTTCTGAGAGCTTTCTCTCTTTTCTTATCTTTGTAATGTTGCTTTGATTTAAATTCTTTAATTAACTTTCTTTTGAGTGTTTTGAGTGGAGTGTTCCATTTGTTGTCTGATAGTTTAAAACGAGAAAATAAAACGCCATTTAATGTAAACTATATAATTGACACTACCATAAGTGTTGCTGGCGTCCATTAAAATTCTTTCTCAGTGCAGGGGTCAGCCGATTGGCAACAATAACAAAAGACTTGAGACACAAACTGAAATAGTTATAAGGGATAGAAAAACAACATCTAATGACAGGGACGGGGAATTCTTTATTGTTTGAAGTTAATTTTTAGAGAGTTATGAATATTTCAAAATGCAAGCCTATAATTCTGATAATAAATAATAGCGAAAAACGTCGAAAAGTCAATATTTACGGAGTAAATTTTAAAGTTTGTAATAATTCATTCCTAACAACCTGATTACAAATAAAAGTTTAAAACGCCGAAAAGTCAAGATTAAGGGAGTTATGGCCATTTTAAAGTTTGTAATAATTCATTCCTAAAAAACTGATCACAAATAATAGCTAAAAACGCCGAAAAGTCAATATTTAAGGAGTTATGGCCATTTTAAAGCTTGTAATAATACATTCCTAAAAAAACTGATCACAAATAATAGCTAAAAACGCTGAAAAGTCAATATTAAGGGAGTTATGGCCATTTTAAAGTTTGTAATAATTCATTGCTAAAAAACTGATCACAAATAATAGCTAAAAATGCCGAAAAGTCAATATTTAAGGAGTTATGGCCATTTTAAAGTTTGTAATAATTCATTCCTAAAAAACTGATCACAAATAATAGCTAAAAACGGCGAAAAGTCAATATTTAAGGAGTTATGGCCATTTTAAAGTTTGTAATAATTCATTCCTAAAAAAACTGATCACAAATAATAGCTAAAAACGCCGAAAAGTCAATATTAAGGGAGTTATGGCCATTTTAAAGTTTGTAATAATTCATTCCTAAAAAACTGATCACAAATAATAGCTAAAAACGCCGAAAAGTCAATATTAAGGGAGTTATGGCCATTTTAAAGTTTGTAATAATTCATTCCTAAAAAACTGATCACAAATAATAGCTAAAAACGCCGAAAAGTCAATATTTAAGGAGTTATGGCCATTTTAAAGTTTGTAATAATTCATTCCTAAAAAAACTGATCACAAATAATAGCTAAAAACGCCGAAAAGTCAATATTAAGGGAGTTATGGCCATTTTAAAGTTTGTAATAATTCATTCCTAAAAAACTGATCACGAATAATAGCTAAAAACGCCGAAAAGTCAATATTTAAGGAGTTATGGCCATTTTAAAGTTTGTAATAATTCATTCCTAAAAAAACTGATAACAAATAATAGCTAAAAACGCCGAAAAGTCAATATTTAAGGAGTTATGGCCATTTTAAAGTTTGTACTAATTCATTCCTAAAAAACTGATCACAAATAATAGCTAAAAACGCCGAAAAGTCAATATTAAGGGAGTTATGGCCATTTTAAAGTTTGTAATAATTCATTCCTAAAAAACTGATCGCAAATAATAGCTAAAATCGCCGAAAAGTCAATATTTAAGGAGTTATGGCCATTTTAAAGTTTGTAATAATTCATTCCTAAAAAACTGATCACAAATAATATCTAAAAACGCCGAAAAGTCAATATTTAAGGAGTTATGGCCATTTTAAAGTTTGTACTAATTCATTCCTAAAAAACTGATCACAAATAATAGCTAAAAACGCCGAAAAGTCAATATTAAGGGAGTTATGGCCATTTTAAAGTTTGTAATAATTCATTCCTAAAAAACTGATCGCAAATAATAGCTAAAATCGCCGAAAAGTCAATATTTAAGGAGTTATGGCCATTTTAAAGTTTGTAATAATTCATTCCTAAAAAACTGATCACAAATAATATCTAAAAACGCCGAAAAGTCAATATTTAAGGAGTTATGGCCATTTTAAAGTCTGTACTAATTCATTCCTAAAAAACTGATCACAAATAATAGCTAAAAACGCCGAAAAGTCAATATTTAAGGAGTTATGGCCATTTTAAAGTTTGTACTAATTCATTCCTAAAAAACTGATCACAAATAATAGCTAAAAACGCCGAAAAGTCAATATTAAGGGAGTTATGGCCATTTTAAAGTTTGTAATCATTCATTCTTAAAAAACTGATCACAAATAATAGCTAAAAACGCCGTAAAGTCAATATTAGGGGAGTTATGGCCATTTTAAAGTTTGTAATAATTCATTCCTAAAAACTGATCACAAATAATAGCTAAAAACGCCGAAAAGTCAATATTTAAGGAGTTATGGCCATTTTAAAGTTTGTAATAATTCATTCCTAAAAAAACTGATCACAAATAATAGCTAAAAACGCGGAAAAGTCAACATTTGAGGAGTTATGGCCATTTTAAAGTTTGTAATAATTCATTCTTAAAAAACTGATCACAAATAATACCTAAAAACGTTCAAACGTCAATATTAAGGGAGTTATGGCCATTTTAAAGTTTGTAATAATTCATTCCTAAAAAAACTGATCACAAATAAAAGCTAAAAACGCCGAAAAGTCTATATTTAAGGAGTTATGGCTATTTTAAAGTTTGTAATAATTCATTCCTAAAAAAACTGATCACAAATAATAGCTAAAAACGCCGAAAAGTCAATATTTAAGGAGTTATGGCCATTTTAAAGTTTGTAATAATTCATTCCTAAAAAACTGATCACAAATAACAGCTAAAAACGGCGAAAAATCAATATTAAGAGAGTTATGGCCATTTTAAAGTTTGTAATAATTCATTCCTAAAAAACTGATCACAAATAACAGCTAAAAACGGCGAAAAATCAATATTAAGGGAGTTATGGCCATTTTAAAGTTTGTAATAATTCATTCCTAAAAAACTGATCACAAATAATAGCTAAAAACGCCGAAAAGTCAATATTTGAGGAGTTATGGCCATTTTAAAGTTTGTAATAATTCATTCCTAAAAAACTGATCACAAATAATAGCTAAAAACGCCGAAAAGTCAATATTTGAGGAGTTATGGCCATTTTAAATTTTGTAATAATTCATTCCTAAAAAACATATCACAAATAATAACTAAAATCGCCCAAAAGTCAATATTTAAGGAGTTATGGCCATTTTAAAGTTTGTAATAATTCATTCCTAAAAAACTGATCACAAATAATAGCAAAAAACGCCGAAAAGTCAATATTAAGGGAGTTACGGCCCTTTTTAAAGTTTGTAATAATTCATTCTTAAAAAACTGATCACAAATAATAGCTAAAAACGCCGAAAAGTCAATATTTGAGGAGTTATGGCCATTTTAAAGTTTGTAATAATTCATTCTTAAAAAACTGATCACAAATAATAGCTAAAAACGCCGAAAAGTCAATATTTAAGGAGTTATGGCCATTTTAAAGTTTGTAATAATTCATTCTTAAAAAACTGATCACAAATAATAGCTAAAAACGCCGAAAAGTCAATATTTAGGGAGTTATGGCCATTTTAAAGTTTGTAATAATTCATTCTTAAAAAACTAATCACAAATAATAGCTAAAAACGCCGAAAAGTCAATATTTAGGGAGTTATGGCCATTTTAAAGTTTGTAATAATTCATTCTTAAAAAACTGATCACAAATAATAGCTAAAAACGCCGAAAAGTCAATATTTAAGGAGTTATGGCCATTTTAAAGTTTGTAATAATTCATTCTTAAAAAACTGATCACAAATAATAGCTAAAAACGCCGAAAAGTCAATATTTAGGGAGTTATGGCCATTTTAAAGTTTGTAATAATTCATTCTTAAAAAACTGATCACAAATAATAGCTAAAAACGCCGAAAAGTCAATATTTGAGGAGTTATGGCCATTTTAAAGTTTGTAATCATTCATTCTTAAAAAACTGATCACAAATAATAGCTAAAAACGCCGAAAAGTCAATATTTGAGGAGTTATGGCCATTTTAAAGTTTGTAATAATTCATTCTTAAAAAACTGATCACAAATAATACTAAAAACGCCGAAAAGTCAATATTTGAGGAGTTATGGCCATTTTAAAGTTTGTAATAATTCATTCTTAAAAAACTGATCACAAATAATAGCTAAAAACGCCGAAAAGTCAATATTTGAGGAGTTATGGCCATTTTAAAGTTTGTAATAATTCATTCCTAAAAAACTGATCACAAATAATAGCTAAAAACGCCGAAAAGTCAATACTTACGGAGTTGTGGCCATTTTAAAGTTTGTAATAATTCATTCCTAAAATACTGATCGCAAATAATAGCTAAAAACGCCGAAAAGTCAATATTAAGGGAGTTATGGCCATTTTAAAGTTTGTAATAATTCATTCCTAAAATACTGATCGCAAATAATAGCTAAAAACGCCGAAAAGTCAATACTTAAGGAGTTGTGGCCATTTTAAAGTTTGTAATAATTCATTCCTAAAATACTGATCGCAAATAATAGCTAAAAACGCCGAAAAGTCAATATTAAGGGAGTTATGGCCATTTTAAAGTTTGTAATAATTCATTCCTAAAATACTGATCGCAAATAATAGCTAAAAACGCCGAAAAGTCAATATTAAGGGAGTTATGGCCATTTTAAAGTTTGTAATAATTCATTCCTAAAAAACTGATCACAAATAATAGCTAAAAACGCCGAAAAGTCAATACTTAAGGAGTTGTGGCCATTTT